TATAACGGGCAAATGTAAGTCTGCCCGGAAATATAGTTGGAGGCTGAAGTACAGGCACACGTGCAGGCGCAGGCTCAGGCTCAGGCTCAGGCTCAGGCTCAGGCTCAGGCTCAGGTGCAGGCACAGGCGCAATTGCAAGGGCAAGCCCAGGCACAGGTGCACCGATACGGACCAATGGGAGCGGTGGCTGCGTTATCCAAGGAAAGAACTGGATATGGGGGCGGGGTGGAAAATTGGTAGCCATGAACTCATGAAATTGCCTTCTGGTGATTTCGTCCTCCAGATCATAACGATGGCGCTCGAGGTGGTGGCCTACGAGACCGTGATTATCCATGAAGACTTGATCACAGAGTCGACATGCGACTGGGGCGTCGATACACGCCTTGTCCTCATTGTTGATCTTGTTCCAGCCAGATCCATCCATGATCGCTACTCAACAATTTAAACACACAAATGCTTTTTGCTTTAGCACAAACCTCCCTTGGTCTGCTCACCAATTTATAATTTAAATTTTACTGCTAATTAATGTTTTTTTACAGGGTTTAATCTTAATTTGGAGAAGTATGAGCTGGGTGTTTGACATTGGATTTCCATTGAAACCATTAAGGAATGACATTGTAAAAATTTACTCAGATACTGTTTTTATGGAAAATATTTTATTATTTAATTATGATACTATGTGTACATGTATATATATTTTTTCAATGTTCCATTTTTTTACTTGTGGCATTATTACCCAGATTTAGACTAATATTATAATTCATGAGAGGATTCTCTTTTTTGGGGAAGTAATTAAAATATTGCATATCCAATATCTACAACAAGATAATCTTCCCCAAGTGAAAATAATGGATGGAGATTCTCAATTATTATCCTCTTCATGATCTTCCAACTTATGACATTATTATTTCATTAAGTAACCAATTGTTATTTATTATAACTTACCCCCTGCTGCCAATTCAATTTCCCCAATTACATATGTAAATTAAATACATAAATTCAAAACAACGTTATATATATATAATTGAAAGTGCTTAGGGTACATTTATATGTAAATGACCGCCAGATTTCTTTATGAAAATAAATTACTTAATTAATAATGTAACACTATAACTCAATCGTGCTTCAATTTAATCAAATATTCCACACAGCAAATATTTATTCCCAATTATCCACCTTAATCTTGAATCTAATTTATAAAACTTCACAGTTTATTTGTACTTTATATGGTCTACATATATATATATATAAACAGATTTTCATTGACTTATTAAACCCTGTGGAATGGCAAACGTTAGTTAAGAATCATTGTTAAAAATTAAACTTTAGTATCCATTTATTCATCACTAGTATCAACTAAAAAATATTTTTACATTGAGTGTTGGTCCATTGAATTTATAGTGTAAGTTCTAATTCGGAAGTTAGGATATTTATTCGATAATCATTTGAGGGTAGAGCGACAAAGATTACTTGTGGAGTAAGCTTCACCTTTTAAATAGGTCTACATTGTGCGGGGCTACGTTAAAAAATATTGCTCTTTTTTTACAATAACATTTATAATTTTGACGATCTAAACTATTTACTTTTATTGGTAGATACTAAGCATGTATTTCGTATCTGATTTTATTCCCTTTATTGAGAAGATTTTTTGTTTTTTTTTTTTACGAATATCTCGAACAGATTTTGTATAAATCAATATAAGAAGGTAATTATTCCAATGATATTTAATGTTTTATCATAGTTGTTTGGTTAGCCCAGAATGAGAACATTTTTAAGCAAAACATTTTATTTTTGAATAAGTTTGTCATTGACTAGATTAAGATTAAATCATAGGTTAAAATATTTTTCATTGTTAAATTTAGTCACTCTAAGTTATCTTTTTATTTATATTGTCGAGATGAGGGTTCAAAAAATACATATTTAATTCTCATCTTAAACTCTAATAGGTATCTTCAACTTTCAACTACAAAAATTTAAGATAGATTGTTCATCATTGTGTAAGTCAAATCTAGCAAGTAATTTTCACGTTGTTATAAGAATTTCAAGGAAGATGTAAACTATGTATTTGAAGAAAAAAAAATTAGGGTGGAAAACATTAAATTGAAAAACTTTTGGTATGCCATATCTACATGATCTAAACATCTAATATCATATATGAAGATATGTATTATTCATTTTTAACATATATATTAGAAGAATCATGTAAATACATCTAGAAATTATGCAAAGAATTGTAAAAACTGAAACTGAAAAACTACATACTTAGGTGATGAGTTCATAAAGGTTTCTATGTGGGTTTCTTTTTTTTTTCTTTTTTTTTTTCTCCTTACTTCTTGGCTAGATTTGTCTTCCTTAGAGGTTTCTCTATCAATAAAAAAATACTACAAGAAGATAATATATTAGTCATTTTAATATAATACTCACACACACACACACATATACATTAGAAGAATCATGATATTACACATATAGGAATCATGCAAAGAGTTGGAAAATCTGAAACTCTAAAAAGTACATGCTTCTGTCATGAATTCATTAGGGTTCTTTTTGGGTTTTTCTCTTCTTTTTTTTTCTTACTTCTTGGCTTGATTTGTCTTCCTTGGAAGTTTCTCCATCACAAAAGGTTCCTCAAAAAATTAATTGTTTGATCTTCTCTATTTTGTCTCACATAATTTAAGAAAAGTTCTAACTCACACTTCCAAGAACTCTTCCTTTTAGAATGGTTTATCTTTTACTAGATTATTTTTTAGGCTGCAGCTTGGTTTGGATTTCAAGAGAAGAGAAACAAGATTTTAGCTCCAAGTTTTTTTGTGTTGTAACCTTTCTTTTCTAAGGTAAATATATATTTTTTTCCCTCCTAGATCAAGTTTAAGGCTCAATTGAAATAATTTTTGAAACTGAAAATTAAAATGAACCAAGAAAAAATCATCATGAATCGTCCGAGATTCTTCAGAAAATCCGAGAAACGGCAAAAACCTTAGGCAATGAGTTACATTTAACTTCACCTTAATCATTTTCTCTTCAATATGTCCTCCTAATCTTTTAGGATGTTCCCATGTATTCTCCGATTACATATACGTAGCCAGTTCTTAATCAGATTCCCCGTATTATAAAACCAATCTGAACGAACCCATATTTTGCACTTCTGCAATTTAAGAAACCAGCCATTAACCAATTGTATTTTATATACATATAGCGTAAAAACATAAGAAGATACCAATATAATGTAAATAACAAAATACAACGAGAAGGACGAGCCCACTGGTTAATTTCTTTCCGAAAGGATCTTCCAACTCAAAATAATAGCTTAGGATGCGTACACGGGACAAGATTACTATAAAGCAAAGACTCTCTTGTCACTTCATAAAAGTTATGTACGTGGATTATCAATCGCCCAAATAATCAATCACTCAGTAGTGCCATCTTCTCAAGCTAACCGACCAAAGGCTCTGCAGAAACGCTAACTTTATACATTCACAACAGATAATGTGAAAAGCATTGTGAAATAAAAAAAACATCAGAGAGAAGCCCAAAGCAGGCTTTAGTTTGTTCTTAAGCATTATTTTGTTCTGAAAGAAACTCATAAAGAAGGTGATTATTAAAACTAGCGATGTTTTAAACATATGAACAATTCCCCAGAGTGAGATCATTTATCTCTACTCTTCAGGAAGTCTTACAGGGAATATAATTCCACTAATCAGAATCCCTGATGAGGTATATGCAGAGTTCCCAACTGGTCTATGGATAAATTTGACTGAAGTAAACTTGTGGATGAAGCCCAGCAAAAGCAGATATATATGTGCACAGAGTAGCTGCAGTGAAACCAGAGTGGAGTTTTTGAGATATGAAACTTTATAACCTCGAAATAACTGGTTCCTTCTTACCATATGTACTCCCTACCACTTATTTCCTTTTTCCAGTGCCAATTGTAAGAAGCTCAAAGCTCCTAAGTGCATCATCACGTCCGCTTCTAGTGGCTGCAGTACGAGCAAACGAAGTTGATTTAGACTCAAATCCAGGTTGAACCCTTTGTGTCATGGAGAGGCGAGCACTGCTTGAAACTAATCTGCTTGACCGATTCTCGGTAAAATCACCAGAAGAGCTTGGTCTGTTGCTTGAAACAACAGCCCTTTTTGACGTACTTCCATTTCGAGATGAAGAGCAAGGTCTTTCAGAATCAGGGTGCTGAAGGGGTTAAAAATATTAAAGAAAAGGACAAAACAAGATTCAGCTTCTAGCAAAGTGTAAAATGTCAAAAACGTTGAAGTGCCAGTTTGTGCAGAAACTCAAAAGTCAAAAAGTTTACAGGCAATAACTAACCATGTCCTTGGGTGATGGCACATCATCTGAGGTTCTGTGTCTAGCCTGTTCACCAAGACCGGAGCCATTTCGTCTAGCAAATGCCTCGACTGCACCAGAAAATCTATCTCGGATATCCTGTCCCCCTATGAAAGAGGAATCAATGTGTTAATATCAACAATTATTAATTTTTCCCACAGAGCGAGAGAAAAAATCAACTAAATCTTCTTCAAAACTTGGAAAGAAAGAGACGCAATTCACAGCTAGTCAACTAAATACTGGAAAGCATACAAAAACAAAAAAGAAAAAAGAACCTTAAACCCTAGAAGAAAAGGAATCATCACCTAAAAATTTGAGGGAAGTCTTAGATAAGTTCTATTGATATAAATATTACCTAAGCTATTTATGAATGTTTCCAATTAATGAAAAGGTACCTAAAGGCCTTTCAACTCTCTCAGCAGATGGTCCAGGGGCATTTAGAGCTGCTTTGAGATTTGGCTGTCAAAAAAGAGACAAGCACGAGAATAAAACAACCACTGAGAAACTGAAACCAGGAAGACACTGTCACTTCATAACTATAAATGCAAATAACTAACTCGTTGTCTAGAGCTGGAGCTAATCTGTGGATACTTCAATATTGTCCAATCGAATACGTGGTCAAACTGATAACCTGTTACCAACAAATATGATTAAGTTTCTTAAATGTTGACGAGATCACTGAATACTATATAAGCACACAGGCAGACAGGCAGAGGAATAAAACGCATGATAGGATAAGCAACCTTCTCGAATAAATAGATCACGGAAAAGCCTCTTCAGATATGAATAATCTGGTTTGTCCTCAAAACGCAATGATCGACAATAATGGAAATATGAAGTGAACTCAGATGGATAAGATTTGCAAAGCACCTGAGAAGGGATATATCAGTGTTTCAGCACACATAATACGACGTGAAAAAACTCAAAGAAAGCAAAAGATAGAAGTTAAAACACCAAGACACTTGTTAGTAAATAACAAGAAACACTATCATTAGAAATTACTTTGTAGGTACGAGATATATAAGAAGAAACCACTTATACCTCTATAGGTGTGAGCATCTTTTTTTCACTGATCTTGTCATATTTCTGCTTTTTGGTTCCTGCTTTTAAGCCTTGCCAGGGAAGGCTGAGACAAAGACATAAGAATATTAAAGTTAAAAAATGTCAAGGAGCTTTAGACAAATATATGTGATGCATGGAACATAGATGTCCCCCCACCTTCCTCGTAGAAAATACATAAGCACATAACCGAGGGATTCCAGATCGTCTCTTCTGCTTTGCTCTGCAAGTTAATTAAGATCCCAATAAGACAGATTACAGACAGATGAAATTCATAGGTCTCATATATAATGGTACCAGAAGATCCATCTCATTATGAGTCACACAGACAATTCACTTACCAACTCCAAGGTGAGTGTTAACACTAGCATAGCGAGCGGTCCCTGTAAGATTCTTGTTCTCCCTGAAAGACATACTTAATGAGTATTTATGAAAGAGAAAGCTGAAGGCTTATAGGACAAAGTTCTTCCTGATCATAACACTTGGCACATGACAATCCAGGTTTCCCGGTACAGATAAGAAAACAGAACTAAAATCATACGCTAAATTACCTACTGGTTGGGGATGTCCTTTAAGAACGATACAAGATAGTGCAATCACCTATATAACATAGATGCCTATATTAACTAAAAACTAAAGGTAAGTTTGACCACAAACGCAAAACATTAGGAAAGCATCATTGCCGAAGATAAAGTCACCTTAAAAAATCACTCGTTAGACAAGATACAAGAAAAACTACTTTCCTGGAATCTTTCTTCATAGCCTCTGCAATGTTTTGGAATATAATTATGCTGGGTAATCCAATTTTCATATCTGCCCCACTCCATCCAGGGATGGGATCGGTAAATGGGGGCGTGAGTGCAAGTGGTGAAGTAGGTAAGGAGAGAGAGAAATTAACAAGCGAGACGGATGGGATGGGCATGAAGAAGACATCCCATACCTGCCTCACCTTTCTCTTTTTAAGTATTTTTCATATGTTTAATATATTTATAATATATACTACTTATTTTTATAAGGAAAAACTTATATTATTCTTTATATTTAATATTCATTGAGATTGTTATTAACCTCATTTTCCTATTCTCAAATTTTTATAATTATTCTACATAAAATGTAGATAATTAGATAAACCTTAATATTTAAATTAGGCAGGACAGATGCTAGGGTGAAGATTTTCCAATGGAGCAGGATGGGGAAAATTCTTCCTACCAGCTCCAGCTACACTGAAGGAGAGGATGAGGTGATGAGGTTGGTTAAAAGAGAGAGGTTCCCTGCCCCAAACCTACTCAACTATCACCTAAAAAGAGCCTATACATGATGAAAAACCTCTTTTCTTTTATTAAGGGAGAAATATGATCAATAATCAACCAAATGGTTACCAAAAGAATCTACACCACAAATAAGAAAGGCTCCAAGACATCTAGAAGGAAGAAGCTATCCTTCACTGATGAGAACGTGACTGGTATTCAATTCTTGATCGAAATCATAAAACTCGACCAGTCTAGACTAGATAACTGACCTGTAAACTGGCCAAATTAAATTTGGTCAAGTTCAGTCCAAAAAAATTTAAATTCAAAATTCCAATCTAAAACAAAAACTGGATTTTTTAATTTTAATGTTTGCTAACCGCTATCTTTATGCTACTTGATGAATTTTTGTACTTTTCTTATTGAAAAATAAAGTTTTTTTTTTTTAATTTAAAAAAACAACACAAAGATGTTTAATTAAGACAGAACAAAATACACGTGTACGGAACTACAATCAGTCCTCTTTTATTTTGATATGGTCTTTGGTCCAAGAATTTGTAACTTTGGTCCCAGTCCTGTCCGGTCCTCCTTTGGACCAATAAGCTCGGCATGACTGTTCAGATACAAAGGGCATAAAAACAGTGTTCCCTTCTTATAAGGAAAGGGGTAATTTCTCCTTCAGAAGCCCATCAATTTCTCGCTTCATATTTCAATATAAGCTCTATGCATGGAAACCACCCATTCTACACCTATTTGCATGTTTTTTATAAGTAACCGAAAAATCTTCTCAATGCACACAATTTGGAAATGATTAAACCTGGAAGTACAATCCAATATTAAACCAACTAAAAGCAGTTTCAAAAAAATATATTTGGTCGAATGAAAAAAAAAAATGTGCCCAAAGAAAGCAGAATTTCATACTCAAAATATCTAACAGTTCTAGAGAATTTTTTAATTTCTCAAAACATTTCTATATAATCAAAATTAATAAAATTTACGGAGAACAAAGCAAAAAGCTTTTCTATAGATGTCAAACTTTTACTCAAAAAAAGTATTAAACTCTGCTCTAAGATCCTCTTAAAAAACAAAGCTGATTACCTGCTTCACATTAAAGCATACAGAACCAATGCCACAAATATAGATGTAGAAACAAAGTGATATAGGACAAATTAGGGCTAATTTGCCCACTTTAAGATTTGGAAATAAAAATCTAGACTTTGCACCTAGTTGTTCTTAGACATCACATCTAAAAAATCTTAAACACTGCATTAAAGAATTTATTACGTCACAACCAGAAAAATGAGAAACCACAAAGTATTTTATTAAATAACAAAATATGTCTCAAGAAATTACATTAGGGAGATATTTATGATGTTTTCTAAGTAATTTTTATTAAGAACAATTACAATAAAAAGTACTAAACAAACAAGAATAGAAATATTACTCCTAATAAGATAGATACTGCTACTAATAAATTAACAATATTACTCCTGATAAAATCGGAAATACTACAACCAATACAAATAGAAAAACTAACTAATAATAAGAATAAATCTTAAAGTAACTAAAATATAATAATAGACTCTTAAATAATATAATAGTTTTATATAGGGATATGCATCGGTGAGTTCTGTCGGTTTCGGTTAAAAAAGTTTAAAAGCGATAAAAAACCGACTGATGCGAGATAACCGACCGAACCAATCAAAATAAATAAGAAACCCGAAACCAAACCTGCTGAAATTTATTCCGCCAGTTCGGTTAATTACTGAAATTGTTCCACCTTCTCCTCTTCCTTGTTAATCTATTTTCAAATTTCAAATCTGCATCATAAATGCATTTTCCTCTTTCACACACACTCTCTTTAATGCTTCCACTAATACTTTTTCCTCTTCCTAGCATTTAACTAGGTTTCCTACCCACTAATCTATATAGGACAGTAGTTCTCTACTAAAAAAATACTAGCGTAGCTCCATATATTTAATAGAATAATGATTTATAATCTATTTAGGCGATCCTAAGCCAATAAACTCTGCATCACCACATGTTTTGAACTAGAATTCACCAAAACTGGCAATACTGTCATACTATCTAAAGACTGAAAAGTCACTACTGAAGAGAAGAACATCCCCTTGAAAACAATGATTGATTATGTTAAGTACCTGTATGGTATATGCTTGTGTGTTTGAAGATCCTTAAATTTCTTTGCAAGCCCATAATCAATGATATACACCTGTGGTTGAATGAGGGAAATAAACCAATAAAGGAAATGCTTAGAATAAGAATAAGGCACATTCTATAACATCTCAAATAAAATACCAAAGAAGTACTTTATAGCATGGAACAAATTATCCGGATCTATAAAGGGCTAGGACCTTCTTGATGGGATTTGAAAGATGAACAAAATCAAAATCTCATATAACATTTTCACAATTTTTTTAATCACTCTTCATATTTCTCCTCCATTTTTCTCTTCTTCAAACCATTTATTTTTTGGAAGTACTCAAACCATTAATAAATCACCTCCATTAGTAACTCTACATTCAAAATATTAAAAATTTGATTTATCTAAAAATAATTAGCTTAAACAAACAAACAATGAATGTAATTCTGATATTTGAATTTAATCATGTTGTAGAATCGGTCAAATTCTACATGGGAAACAACTCTTAGCTCTATCATGGAAAAGGTAAGCACACGACACTAAGTGAATCATCATTCACTTATCTCAAAAAAGAAAAAAAGTGAATTATCATTCACTGAACGGTTCAAAGGAAGTGACTGACATACATCTGTGATGAACTAAATCCATGATTATGGAGAGATAAAGAACTAACATTGAGCAGCATACAGGAAAATTGTGAATGGCTCCAAAAATAATTTAAAAGAAAGAAAAAAGCCTGTAATCCTTAATCAAGACAGCATATGCCATACAGTAACTTTGAATTAAGTCAGACAAAGGAAATATATTATTTTTTTCAAATGAAGTATAAGTATATTCATTAATTATAGGTACCAAGGGGGCACCAACCCATATACAAAAGAAATTAAAGAAATATATTATATTAATAGCAACCTAATAGAAATGCAAAAGGGATTGGGAAAAAATGTTAGAATGAATATAACCACTGGCCAACAATTTCTTCTAAACTTATGCCACTCAAGCCAAAAATGAACAACTACAAACCATGCAAAACATGCATTTTTCTATATCCTTCTGATGTCATTCTAAAATCAGAGCCTTAGAATACATCCCTCACAGGCTTGACTGAAACATCATCAAAATGCATTATTATTACCACAATATATAAAATCATAACAATTGTTTAACAAATCAAAAGTGAGATCGTTCAGAATAGCGGCAAAATTTTTTTCCCAATAACTGTTACCACAGAATTCTTTCTGTCAAAGCATTTGTTACCATAGATACTTTAGTTCTCTTACTCTTTTGGGGAAAAAAAGAATGATACTACTAATTTTTCTTTACTTTCTATTTGTGTCCTTAAAAATTCTTAAAATTGGAAAACTTAAATCTTAAGCATTTATCCTTCCTTGTACTAGAGTATTTTCTCAAAATTAAAAAAAAAAACCCATCAAAACGTAACAGTTTATCGAAATTTCAGTTGGCCTGAAAATTTTTGTCTTGCAAATTGGTGATTGGCACTGAACAGCATTTCCTCCCAGCTACTCTCTTGAGGAAAGAAATAAAATCCAGATACCACAAAACACTTCCCAGAAACTTATTTTATTTCTACATTTAGAAAGGGAGACCTATGGAAGATTTAGAAATAAACAGAACCTTCTTTTATTTCTACCTTTAGTTAAGGCAGATGTATGGAAGATTTAGACATCATTAGCAATCCATTTTTTTTCCATGAGCAGCGAACAATCATTTCTCAATTGTTTCATCATACACTTCTGTCGAAGGAAAATATATGAAATGCACTTACTGAGTAAAACAGTAAAAGAATAATTTACCTGGTTTGCTTTGCGACCTAAACCCATCAAAAAGTTGTCAGGCTTTATATCACGGTGAAGAAAGCCCCGCGAATGCATATATTCAACTCTATTTAGCTGCACAAAGTAAATGGAAAAGAAAAAAGCATATATGATTTACATATGAACCGACAAAACCAATCCTGAAATTGGTAGACGCACTTACTAATTGATCTGCAAGCATCAATACTGTTTTCAGAGAAAATCTCCGATTGCAATAATTAAATAAGTCTTCCAAGCTTGGTCCAAGAAGGTCAATAACCATAATGTTGAATTCACCCTCAACTCCGAACCATTTCAGATGCGGAATACCAGCTTCACATGCAGAAATCACATTAGTATAGCTTAACTAAGAAAAATATTTAATCCAGAATAAATCATATAAGTGTCAAAGAGAACTTAATAAAAATCTCTGCAGAAAAGGAAAGTAAAAGAAAATAAAACTTACTTCCTCCTTGAAGAAGCATGTATAATTTTGACTCATAGTGAAGTTGAGGATGCTTGGTCTGTGCAGATTCCTGGGGATAAAGGAAAGATCAAGCAATATAAAAGGCCAAACTCACAAGTGATATAGTCACAAGACATTATGATCTTCAAAATGAACAAGAAGAAAGGTTAGACTATATAGAATCTGAATAAAAACTTTATACATATTCGCAAAGATATAGATTTTTAGATCAAATATTTCAACTTATTTTAATAAAACATCCTTCAATACAAATGTCCCTGACAGATCCTTTTTTCCTGAATCGAAATTAAATGTCTCAATCCAATAACTCAAAGTAAATGCAAGACAGCTGAAGACCACTCATCAACAGAATTGAAAAAGAAAGTTAATATTATAACCTTCTTCTCTGGAACCTCCATTGCAACAACCCAATACAACTAATAAAATCTTCAAAAAAAATGATACTGAAAAGACACATGCTACTGAACAAAAGTATGTTTCCACTGTCTTCAGCCAAACTAGGATCTCCAGAATGTAAGGCAAAGTGGAATACCAGAAAGATTTCTCAGAATTTGATCTAGTTAAACCAGATATAAAAATGAAAGAGCCCATGGCATTACAATGAAAAAGACCATTTACCACGTTAATAAATTGCAAGAACTAACCCGCCCCTTTCCAGGGTAATAAATAAGTTAGCTATACAAAGAACTGCAAAATCAAACTTACATGTTTACAGAAATTACAAACGACATTACACAATTAATTCATGCATATTCCGAGCATACACGATAAGATAATTCAAAATAAAAACCACCCTGACAAAATAATCCAAGGAGCATGGGAAAAAGATTGCTTTCAAAAAATACCAGCTTGACAGCCACTTCTTCTCCACTTTGCACATTAATACCTGCAGCACCATAAACCAACCCAGAAAAAATACAAAACATATGTCAATAAAAGGAAAAGAAGGCCAAAGCCCTAAAAACACAATCGCGACAGGTAAAGACTATTACGTACCCAAATAAAGTTCACCAAACGATCCGCTACCTATCTTGCGCCCCAGCTTAAACTTGCCACCGATAACATTATCCATGGTTATAATTCCGAATCAAGATATGATGAAAGACTACAGTATCCTCTCTCCCCTCTTTAGCTCATAATCCAATTCAACGTACAGATTACTCAAAAAAAATAAATGAAATAAAAAGCAGATTACTCAAAAATATTTGCTTATCACTAAATCTCATCGCCGATTGTCCCACCCATCACCCAGATCCACGAAACACATGGAGAAAAAAAACTAGTTGTCACAAAAGTAAACAATCCAAACTGAAAAAATGGGAACTTCTGTGCTCCAAATGATGGAAGCAAAAAAGCAAACACTTATCTCACAACTGACCACACTAACACGAACACGAAGCTGCTTAAAAAAACTAAGCCATGCCCATTAACCAGTTAATCCAAACAGAAATGAATTCAACTGCATTTTCTGGAGAAAGTTGGAAAGAAGAAAAGTGGATGAAAAGTTTGGTAAAGGCGAAAATCAATGGGTAAAAGGTGGTTTTATCACTATTCTTTTTTTTTTTTTTTTTGCGGAAAAAATTAATAAGAGAATCTAAAAGCTACGAGTTGTGCGGCAAGAATTTGGGGATGAATTCATTTGGCGATATTCGGATCAGCGGTAAGGACAGAGATAGAGTTTATTATATTCTTAGGTAAAGAATATTGAGAGAGAAAAAATGGAAGAAGAGTGATGGGAAAACTTGAAGATTGATATGAGGAAACTGGAAAGATTGCAGACATTATTGGCTTTTAGTTCTTTTGGTAGAGAAGGCAAATATCACTTGTTCTTATTCTTACACATGATTTTCCCATGTTGCCCTTACATTAAAATATAATTTACATACTTTAAATGGTTTTTAAGATATAAGTTTGTTTTTTATTAGATTAAAAAACATGTAGTTATTACGTTATATTATATGAAATATATTTTTAATTTTTTAATACAAAATTTTGAGAAAATTAGAGTTTCCAAAAGAACTCGTATTGGTTTCAAAGCTTATTTAATGGGCTCCTTTTTTTTTTTTTTTCCCCCGTAAACTGTTAATAGATTTTTAATTTAAACAGTTTATATTTTATTATAATTTTAAATTAAATAGTTAGCATAACTACAACTATTTTCTTACTTTTCTCAGGTTTAATTTCAATAAATTTTTAACTAAGCAATTAATATAACATTTAAATTACAAAGATAGAAAAATGGGTTTGGTATATAATTAAATTAATTATAATTTAAATATTTGGTACATAATTAAATTAAATTTATTCATATTTTTAATTTTATAACTATCATTGCAGTTTAGTAAAAGGGAAAAGAATAATTTGCTCTGTCCTCACTGTGCAGCTCCCTAAAATAAACAAGAGATTCTACTTTACCTAGAGAGTGGGCTCCTCTATCCATTTCCATACCTACCAACATGACAAAACTAGAAAAGCCTAAAACACATTGCTTTAATCTCTGCTTCAATGCCTCCAAAGCATTACAGAAGTTGCAGGCATTGGTAGAGTGTTAAGTCGCTTTCCAGTGATCTTTTTCACTACACCGACTGCTCGCTCAATCTTTAGCCCTTCCATCACTGCCATGGGAAATTCTAAGTTGCCTCAGACATTAAGACACAATTTTTTTAAAAAAAAATTATCTGATTATTTTCAGTGGCTAAGATTTCTTTCTTCCTAATCAAAAGGTGCAGAATCATGGAACACCATGCCTTGCTTCAACCGCATCTGGAAAATGCAGCAGAATGGCCCCATTGATGATGTTCTCATCTTTCTCTGCACACAAGCAATTAGAAATATGCAAAATGCCCAGGAACCAAAACATCTCTTGTTCAAACAATGTAAACTTCATGTCAGTAGAGCTTTTTAGCTGTCAGTCTGTGATCATATTCAATGATTATGTCTCCGCAGCTGCTCCATACAAGAGCCAATTACCAGTAATTCCCACATGAACAATTTCCATCCTTAAAATGGTGAAATCGGCTATTATCCCTGACAATTATTTCTCTCTCAACAATCTTTGATATAAACTTGATTGCTGTATGGCAGTCCACACATACCCGGATGTTTTTTGTTACTCGAATTGTTGTTCCAGGAGGTGTGCTAATGATACCAAAAGCTATGGCTAGCCTCTCGCTATGGCTTCCTAGTAAGTACTTCTTTTGCTCCTCTTCAACATCATGGAGCTCCTCATTTGTGTCGGCAACATACCCTTCTTTTTCCATCTTTTCTAAAAGAAAGTCCAAAAACTCATTGATTCTGTCATAAGAAGGGTGAGATTTATCTCCTGCCACAAAAGCATGCATCTTGGTTTTAACTTCAATCCAGCTACAAGCTGGTGTTTTCTTCATGCCCTTTTCCCTCATATACAATCGCAACTTCACTGTGTCCTTCCATCTCCGAGCAGCTGAATATATGTTGCACAAAAGAATATAAGCTCCAATGTTATCAGGATCCACAGCAAAAATTTTCTTAGCAACCTTTTCAGCCAGCTCAACATTCTTGTGGACTCTACAAGCAGCTAACAATGTTGACCAGACACTCCCTGTTGGTTCAATATGCATGCTGGAGATGAATTGATATGCTTCGTCTAACTTCCCAGCACGGCCAAGAAGATCAGCCACAGCAGCATAATGTTCTAAGCCTGGAGCAATGCCATAATTCTGAGTCATACTATTGAAATATTTCCAAGCTTCATCTATCAATCCAGCATGACTACAAGCAGTTAATACAGCCACAAAAGCCACATCATTGGGTCTCACACCCTCTGTTATCATCTGCTCAAATAAAGAAATGGCATCACGCGCACGGCCATGCAAAGCATGTCCCATGATAATGGCTGTCCAGGATACCATGTCATGTAGCTGAATTTTGTCAAAAATGCATCTTGCAATCCTAATGTTCCCACATTTGGCATACATGTTCGCAAGAGCACTGACTATGAACACATTAGCATAAAAATCATTCCTGATTATGTATGCGTGGAGTTGTTTTCCTAAATGGAGCGTCGTCAAGTGGGCACAAGCAGGCATGATACTAGAAAAGGAAATAGGCTGGGGCTTAATTTTGGACACTAACATCCATCGAAACAATCTAAGACCTTCATCAAATAGGCCATTCTGCACACATCCTGCAATAACCGAGTTCCATGAAATGCTATCTTTTTGAGGTAGGAGATAGAAAACCCTATTTGAATCTTCCACCCTTGCACATTTTGCATACATGCCAATCAAGCTACTTCCAATAAACACGTCTCTATTGAATCCATGTCTAATAGCATATCCATGAATCTCCTTTCCCTTGATGAGATCCGCATACTCTGCAAATATAGGAAGGACACTGGACAGGGTGAAAGAATCAGGCTTCAAATTGGCATTCCCCATCTCCCTAACCATCCTTAAGGCTTCTTTGTACATCCCATTTTGTGCCTTCCCAGAAATCACGGTATTCCAAGAAACAACATCCCTCTTTGGCATCATTTTGAAAACTTTTTCCACACTGTCAATTTGCATTCTGTCTATCTTTTGCGTATAAATTTTGTCAGGACAATAATCAGCTATGCCATCTGTAGCATCAACAAGTGGCAATGTCTCACTAAGAAGTTTCAAATTGAAGCCATGACCAATTCCCACAGCCATTTTATCGAAGTCATCTCTACTACAGTTGGAACTCTCATATGAAAGAAACGCTCCATTCCTTGGATCCCAATCGGCATGTACTATCCCTCCAACACTATTACACTTATCGGGTGAATAATTCATGTTCAATTCACTGTTTTTCGTTCTATGCGGCATTTCGTCGAACACATTCAACACACGAGTTACCTGTCCACCAGTCCCACCCAAAGCTTGAAACTTTGAGTACATATTCATAAGGGCATTCCCGGTATACAAATCAAAATCCATTCCCAGCCTAATAATACAGCCATGAACGGACTCGCCCAGCCTGGTATCCACGAGTAAGGTACATGATTTTAACACAGAAGGGATAACGTTGTGATCTGGGTATTTACCAGAAGCACGCATTTTAATAAAAGTAGCCAAAGATTGCACAAGACAGCCATTGTTGGTGTAGCACCTGATGATGGATTTCCAGGCAAGGAGTGGGGGCGAGTTGAGAGTGTTGAAGAGAAGAATGGAATCTCGTAGAAGGTTGAAGTTTGAGTAAAAGGAGATGATTATAGACGCAACAGAGTGAGAGAGTGATCGGGTTTTTAGGATTTGGGCATGAAGTTGCTTGGCTTGGTACTTAGATTTGATGGTACCAGGGTTTCTGAGAAGGGTCTGGATAAGAGCTTGAGCCGAACTCATTATTTATCTCCATTAAAGTACTTGAAGAATGAAGGTGCTTCCTTGTATGTATGAAGAACTTGTACTTACCATTGAAGAGCCAACACAGGGAGCTACAAGTGTGGCTGACAAAAGGATACACATCTCCTGCTTGGAATTTCACCTCTGTTCTTCTATTGACTGTTGCTTGTATTACAATTTCTTTTTTCACTATATGGTTGGGTTGGTAATTCTCTCTCTCCCGACGAGATTGAAATTCAACTGTTTGTTTTTCTTTCTTGTCAAAAAAGTTATATTTTAATTGGTGAGTCTTGAGAGGATAATAGTAAAAAGTATTCTGAAATCAAACAATAGTCTGAAACCTTAATTTTCATTTTCATACTTCATTTTTCACTTTATGATCTGAATTCTTGCATTTTTATATGTTTCCATATCTCTCAGTAAAACGCACTCAGTTAACAGCTCTTCCAGATTTTGCTCCAAACAAATCACCTTTGGATGGGACTACCGGGACAAAAATTGCAGGAAGGTCTAGGCAGAAGACTGAGTTTTTGCAGCAAAGTTCTATAATTTTGCTCTGAAATAATATCATTCCATATGTTTGCTTCACGCTCGTTTCAAAGGCTCATAGTCCCCACATAATGAAATTGATGATGTCGCAACCACATCATGACCAGTCGACCTCCATGATAAATGACCTAGTTTATTATTCTTACCATGTCACTTTCAAAGTTTTCCAACTTCCAACATCTTCACCAGAGAGAAAAGGCACCCGGCTTCATAGTTGTTGCTTGGAGCAGGAACCCTGTTGCTTTACATGGCACGGCATTCTTGGAGTTCCAAGGAAGAAATACCAAGAAGTGAATCGCAACAAGTATCTAGAGCAAACGTGCTACACCAATTCACAACTTAATAGTGCACCAGTTGCTCTAAGCATTAGGGTTAAACTCAATGAGCAGGCCAAGAAAAGCTCTTAGATTGCTAAGATCGATGGTCCATGATCAAAACATGAATTAATAATATAATTCAACATTCTAACCAATAAAAAGTCAAATTTCCACCGCAATGGAAATATAAATACAGAGTCAGAGTCATTTAAGTGCACCATTTTTTTCGGAGTACGTCATTTAAGGGCAACATAAAGCTAAATAAATCCACAAACGATCTACAGCAAACACAAATTTCGGGCCTGTTGGTTCCTCATATTGCAGGCACTTGAATCAAGGTTTTCACTTCACATTCTAATCAGCAATCCTCAATCATCTTCTCTTTCAGGGGGCAAACCACATGGCAAAAGCATTTTCTGTTGACAAATATCAAAATAAATTAAAACGTTAGGTGTATTTTTCACCAAAACAACAATTAAGCCTAACAAAGAGGAAACAAAACATAATATAACAAAATCATGTAAAAGCTATCATGACTAATAAGAATCACTAAAATCAGCCGCAGAGTAGAGGAACTGCATAACTCATATAATTTCATTTAACTTTATATTGCTAGTCTAGGGATGATTCCCTCCTTTTTTTCTTTTTCTTTTTTTTTTAACTCTCCCACTTTCCCTCTATGTGGCAATATTGATTGCCTCCTTAGTAGGAGAGGGAAATATAAATGCCATGGGTCTAACTTATGGAAGAAAATCAGCTCCGACAGCAAGACTTTTTATGACTGCTTACGTTGGCAGGTTGGTAATGGTGCTGAAATAAAATTCTGGAAGGATGAGTGGGCTGGTGACTTCAAACTGAAAGATAAATTCCCAAAGATTTTTGCGATTGCTAAAGAGAGGGATATTCTTGTGGAGAAGGTGTTTGAGAAGGGAGAAGGGGGAGGTGGGTGGTGTATTCAGGTTAGAAGAAGTTTAAAGGAGGATGAGGAGGCTGAATTCTGTAATTTGCTGCGGTGGCTTGCTGTTTTTAAGGTGAGTAATGAGAATGACAAAAGAATCTGGAAACCAGACAAGAAAAAAAGCTTTTCAGTGAAGTCCTACTACAATCTTATTGCCATTAAATTATGCGGAGAATGCCAAGACAGCACCGTTTAAGCAAATTTGGAGGTCTAAAGCTCCGCCCTGAATGGCTTTTTTTATTTGGGAAGCTGTCAAAGAAAAAATCTTGACCATTGATGCATTGAGAAAGAGAGGAATGATAATAACCAATAGGTGTTACATGTGCAAGTGATAGGTCCCAGTCAAAGCCATTTAGATTTTTCACAAACTTTTCTCTTTCGGGTGAGAATAACCACAGGTAATTTTGCAGAGATGTTCTCCCCTTTTTCTCGTGCTTCTGGTAGTTTAAATAGCAGAATTTCTAACTGTTCTACCTAAAATAAAGGATCTTAGTTAAAATGTGCAGAAAGAAATTAAACATGTGAAAGGATAAGTGACTGGGCTGGTGTGTTGCGGGGATCATGCGGAGTGCAGAAGCTGCGCAGAGATCGTGGGATCATGCAGAGTGCAGAAGTTGGCCAGAGATCGTGGAGGTTGGGAGTGAAAAAGTTGAGAGGGAATCGTGGGGGTTAATCTTGGAGTGTTGACTGTTTTCTGGGGATTCTTTTTTGGGTTTTCGTTGGGATCTTATGATCCTATCATTGTCTCCCCCTTTTTTAGAACCTTGTCCTCAAGGTTCAGGTACTTTTGGTCTCTTCGTTCAGCCAAGCTTCACAGGATCAGCATTCTCTTCCTCTTCGTTGCCTTCTAGAAGTAATAGTTGGGACCGGCGGCATCTGTGGCTGAAGATAAACTTTTTGTTATAGTGGAAGCACAGACCTTATGCTTGCCGAGGCTGTGCCTCTTCCCAAGATAACCGCTTGGGAGCTGCGAGTGTTTCTGTTAGAGCTCGCGGAGTCTAGTCGAATAGGGGAGCGCGCTTATGGGTCGGGTTGATTCCACCCGCCCCAGTCTAGCCTCCCTTGACGGCCCAACTGTTCCTCGTGCATGCGGGCCAGACTTATTGCATCCTTCAAGGTCCTGGGCTTGAACATCCTTATCCCATCTGCTATCTCGAGCTGAAGCCCAGCCATGACGATGCCAATTAAAGCCTTTTGGGTCGAGCCGTAAACTTGGTTGCCAAGCCGTTCAAACTCCTTTTGGTACTCTCTCAATGGGCCAACCTGTTTAATTTTAGACAAGGCCTCATCAAAGTCTTCTGCCTCTGTTGGCCCAAAGCGGGCCCAAAGTTCTTCTACAAATCCGATCCATGTCACCAACTTCCCCTCTTCTTGATAAGTTCGACGAAATCATTGCCACCACTAGTTGGCTTCACCTTCCAAGTGGAAAGAAGCCAATTGCACTTTCTATTTGTCGGCGATGGCTTGGTAATCAAAGAATTGTTCCACCCGGTTGATCCATTCGGTCGGATCATTCCCTACAAAAATTGAAAATTCTAGTTTGGCAAGTCGAGAGTGGAAGGGGGGACAGTTACCTTCATTTCTTCTGTGTCCTTCGTCACAGGCAAGCTATGTCGGCCCTGCTCGGACTGGGGTGTTGCTGCTGTAATCTCTCGGTTGGCTAGCAATGTTTCGGTCAACCGTTTGAGGGTGTCCCTCATCTGGTGCAACTTATCCGCAACTCCCAACTCCATTCTGCTGAAGCTATCTTGCAATCCCCCAACGCTTGCATCGAGTTGTTCAATCCTCTCCTTATTAGACATGGCTCTCATACCAATTGATAAGTCCCAGTCAAAGCCATTACGATTTGTCACACTTTTCTCTTTCGGGCGGGAATGACCATAGGTAATTTTGCAAAAATGTTCTCCCCTTT